TACCGTGGCCTGACCTTGGATTCACCGGATGTGAACTGAACTACGCTTTACGAGCATAGAGATGACTCTAAGACCAGAAGGTCCCGAAGAAACGTGCTCAACTTTTTGGCTCAACTCTGGTACTATCTTCGGTCCCAAGCTAATCGATGCACCCCTCGAAACATAGGAAAGTCCACGAACCCCTAATTTTATCTGTCAAACTTTCAAAGCGAATCAAAACAAGCATAGTGTAGTACTAGAATTTCGTCTAAAATGGGGTACGTTAATCTATTTGCTTGGTACCAATAGGCTAGTCAAGCAGTGAGCCAATTTAAAATCGATAGTTTCGTTTTGATCGTTGATACGAGTCCGTTAACACCAGTATCGGTTTATTAGTTTGTTTATTAGGTTTGTCAGTCGGTGTCGTAGCGGCGGCTTTGGCGGAGAAAACCGTGGTTTTGTTTGTATAATAGTATGTTTGGCAACCCGGTTAATTTGACAGTTCACATGTTTGATTTTGAAGAAACAGAACAACGAGCAGTGGTTGCTTCCAAATTTCCTCGGAAAAGGACTACACTGAACCTAATAAGTAACGGCCTCGGTCACCGAATCGAAGCTTCGAGCGAGAACGTTCTCCGGGGGAGGCACTTCCAATTTCCGACAGGATAATAACTTCTACTGGATTTGAGTATGGTGACACAGGTGACGGTGGTAAGTAGACGAAGCAAGCATTAGAGGAAACTGGTCCGGAAGCTCTTCAGATTCTGATGAACGCTTCCGGGAGGAGTTTCTCCCGAAAGCCATCCACTCTGTCAAATATGCGGCGCCAGCGTTCTATTGGGAGTTTCAACTGAAATCAGACTTCCCTGGCGGATGTAGGATTTAGTGTGTCTACACGGTCAGACAGTTCAACGATCGGACAAATGGAGAAAAATATGGCGAAAAGCAGTGCCGGCCAGAGAACACCTGTAAAATCTAGGGCGCTGTCGTTGGTAGGAAAGCAAACACCTCCAAACATGGTTCGAGTGATCATCGAAGGCGAATTAATCGATGTCAGTTACGATGAGGAACGAATCATGGAACTGAATGCCGATTTGCTGATCAACGCAGTGGTGAAGCGTTACGGAATCAAACATGGCAAACGACCACTGATAAAACTACTACGGCCAGATGGTGGCCTTTGTATGGACACCGATCGCCTTACGACCTTCTGTGCGACTCGGATTCCATGATCAATTCCTACCTCATAGAGTTCGAAAAACTGCGTTCGGATCAGTTCTACGAGGATTATGCAAACATCGCGATGTTGAAATGCTTACCGAACTGCTCCAATCGCTAAGCACCATAGAAAACACCGGTCACTTTACACTTTGCCGGGATTTCTTCTCCGCCAAGCCTATAAATATTATATGGCAAGCGCTGGGTTATCAGGGTCGTGTCCGAGGGCTAACCTATCCTTCAACCAACTCACTGATGTCGACTTTCAGGAGCTATTACAATTCCAGTTAACCTCCTTCGGCTGTGATTTCAGCTCCGTCACGAATCTCCCCGCCCCAAATCGATATACCAACGTCTTCAACGTTACCATCACTTCCTCATTCAGGGTCTCGCTCACCCCACTATCCAACTCATTAATCACAATCTGAATCGGCATAATATGACCAGTAGCAGTCCCTTCATGGTCATCTTTTCAATCAACTTCCGGAACGATGCCACCCCCTTCCCAACTTCGATCAAACAGTTCTGAACCAGATCCTTGAACAGTTCGATCGTCTTGAGTGGAGGTTCTCCGATCTCGAAGTCTTCCGGTAGCGACTCCAGCACCATCCGGAAGAATTCCAGTATCACCCCCAGATTACAGTTGTACTTGGCAACGGTCATCGCCTTGATGACCTCGCTCATCCCGCAAGCATACTGCGTTGACTTTTGAACGGTGTTTAGCTAATGTTTTGAAAACATGTGCGTTGTGAGGAATACATGGCAGAGCTTCGGCGGGAATTCACGGTTGCAGTTATGAAACCAAAAATTAGATTGTGTCAACAACAATGATTAACATTTTGACACATGCACAGAACAGGCGCAGATATAGCAACAATCAATACGAAACTAACGATTTTAAATTGGCTCACCACTTTAGTAGCCTATTGGTCCCAAGCAAACGATTAACGTACCCTATTCTAGTTGAAATTCTATTACTACACTATGTTTGTTTTGATTCGCTATGAAAGTTTGACAGATAACATCAGAGGTTTGTGGATTCATGTAGAACATGCAGGGGTGAGTGAAATAGCTTGGGACTGCTTGGGACCGTTGTTCTGGTACTGAGTGAGCCAAAAATAATAATGATTTTCTTCGGGACCCAGTGGTTTCAGAGTTACCTCTATGGATATAGTACAGTGTTACCAGTAGCTTTAAATATCATGAAAATTTCTAACCATGGGTGCCAATGAAAGTGCCCAGGTGTGCCTATCTGTAGTTTTGGCACACTGTGCGGAGTGACCAACCCCTTGTTTAAAAGATATTGAAAATCGAAAATTGAAATTGCCAATTTCAGTTGTTAATTAAATATAGAAGATCTAAATAAAAATCTTGTTTACAAAATGCATGGAATTATCTAACTCCGAGAATTACCTAACTTGAGAATATTCTTAAGATTGAGATCCTTAAAATCCGTTATGAGATCCGGACAATATGTAATTTCATTACAAAAAGCTTGAACAAACGATCATTGCTGGTTCAAAATCATTAAGCTTCTAAGGCTCCCCCTAAGGCGGTGTTATGAAATAAATAGAATAAAAGTTAATACTTCTCCATTAAAATAATAGTAGCCAACAGGACAATTAAATAACAAATAGCCTTGACGCCTTTTGATTGAATTGCAGTTCCAGAGTTTCTATTTAACCGTAGTTAAACAAAACATAAAAAGATGCCATAGGCCCCCCTTAGGTCCCCTCCAGTACAATTGTCTACTTACGCCAATGATGACATGTTTGTTTACGTATCATCCTTTATGCCAACAATAGATTCCGTCACGTTTAAAATTACTTATATCCAAGTGTGAAGGTTAAACCACAGACAAACATACATAACACATTGAATATTTCTCACTGTAAAACATCGTCACTTAAACATTACCGCCATCTGTTGAGTACACTGTGGTGGGCACTACGCTGAACAGATGGCGGTAGTGTGTAAACGTCAAACGCAAGGGAATTGACTATGCGCGCCACAGGTGGCGGTACTACCATAGAGGTAACTCTAAGACAAGTAGGTCCCGAAGAAACGTGCTCAACTTTTTGGCTCACCTCTGGTACTATCTTCGGTCCCAAGCTTGTCGAATCACCCCTCGAAACATAGGAAAAACCAATAACCCCTCATTTTATCTGTCAAACTTTCATAGCGAATCAAAACAAACATTGCGTAGTACTAGAATTTCGACTAGAATAGGGTACGTTAATCGTTTGCTTGGGACCAATAGGCTACTAAAGTGGTGAGCCAATTTAAAATCGTTAGTTTCATATTGATTGTTGGTACTACCATCTAGGATACTTTTAAATTGTTCGTTAAATGCTTGTTCGATGAACAACTTGCGAGTGTTATGTCTGTTTGTCTGTGTGGTTAAACTGATCCGATGAATCGTTCAAATGATCCGGATCCCCTATATGGATGAGCCGGTTCTGAGTATAGTCGCTATATTTATAGTCTGGCGGAAGGAATTTACTCTATTGTAGACCAACAAATTGAAAAGGTCTTATCAACTTCAATAAACAAAACATTGATTATTCTTTCCTCGCCAATCGAACGCAAATTACCGGCGTCATCGGATAGGGGGAAACTTTTCCCAACCCAAAGATGATGTTAGTTTGCGTAGGCGAGCCCATGGTGCTTATATAAATGGTGATACAGCTTTGTCACTATATAGGCGAGGAGGTCGCGGGAGTTAAAGTGCGGTTTTAGAGCAAATTGTAAAAAAACCTCGGTCGCTGTCCCATAAAAAAAAAAAATCCAACATGGCTGAATCATGAATTTGACACATTAGAACACCTATATATAGTCACCTTGGGCGAGCCTTGAGTCACGTGTCGATTGGTTCCGCTATTTGACAGCTCAATTGGCTCCCGAGGTTATATCCGCCAGACTATAAATATAGCGACTAAGTTCTGAGCCGTTCGGCCAAGTGGTGGGGTCCGTTTTGCTCATCTCCATTTACCTTGGCTTTTTGGGAATATTTTTTTTTTGAAGGTGAGTAAGCTATATCAAGGTTCCGAGATTGAGGAGGGTGATTTAAAAGAGGAAGTCTTTGCTTCTCCCTACAACTCACCATTGACGTCAGCATACAAACTGCTTTTTGAATTTGCATTTTGTTTTGATTTTTTAATGATGTCGAACACTCCGAAACAGTTTTTGATCCTGACCCGGTGCGTTGACACTATTGATATGACGGGTGTATCCAATTTCGTGGTGATTTTTTTCAGTTTCCGGAAAGCCATTCGATCCGAGCATTTATTGCGTTATTTATCCATCATCAAACGGTCGCCATCGTCGCCGATCTGCATGTCATTGGTATTAATGAAATCCAGCGCCGATCGCTGGGTTAGAACCTGAACTGCACCGTACACTGGAATATTCCACGCACGCAGTTTACTTGGATCGATTCGCATGCAAATCATCGCGCGAAACTCCTCTCCGCGTCCTCCCGTCCCGCGGATCGTTAATAGAGGAAAATCTTGCAATCGTTTCAACATTTTGTGCATTTCAGTTACAGCAACGTCGTGCAGTAGTAGATCGCACCGATTGAGTGAAGACGGCGGCTCTCGCTCTCGCTGTCATATTCTCGTAGCTCTCTCTGCCCAAAGCCCCAAACTACTAATAATAAACCAAAGGCGGGCGCGTGAGAGGCGTGCAGTGAGTGTCACCTCCCTTCCTGCCCACGGTGTCGTACAATACGGTCGATGAGTTCCCCCCGTTTCTCTGTTTGCCATCAGTGGAGCAGCAGAGAGTGACGGACGGACGGACACGGCGGTCGCAGAAGCTAAACACTAGCCGTTTAGCTCAAGTTCAGTTTAGTAAACTTTCAATTGTCAGCGTGTTCGGATCGCAGAATTTCGCGCGCCGGGTTGTAGTATACCAACTGGTTGTTTCCCTGCCGTGTCGTTCCCCTCGTTTCGTTTTACTCGTTCTTTCGATCACCACCCAAGAAGAAGAATCAACAGGAAAAGTAGGCGGTTGTCATTCGCCATTGTGTGTGCGGTGCTGCGGTGCAGTGTGAAATCGTAAGAACAACAAGTACTAGAATTAAACCACAATAGGCCCTGGATTTCGGCGGTGCAATTTGTCCTGGATTCTAAATTGTGCCGTTGAGTGGTGGATGTGTGTGTGTGTATCTATGTGAGTGCATAAGGAGAACGTAGAACGCGATCGCGCGAAATTGTAGGATCCGAATTCGGTGGCGGGCCACGGTGTGTGCAATATTTGCTCACTCTACCTGGGTGTGTTGGCAGTGTCAGAATAGCAGTTTCCAGTAGTGCCATGGGAAATGATTTCTCGTTAACCTTTCGCTGCTTGGTTGGATACTAAAAAGCTAGCTTCTCTGGGTGAACAAGATCAACAACAATCCTACCGTGCGCCTCTGAGGGGCAACCGGACAAGTGCAACAGTGTATCTGAGTAAACTGATCGTTTAGCTGTCTAATACGCGCAATATTAGACCAGTTCTTGGTGTGATCCAAAACGAGAAAAAAGATAAACCGAGATCATCAGCTGAGTGTCGTCAAATATCTGCCTAGAATCTTACTAGTGAAACAGTGTGTACATATAGTAGTATTACATAAACAAGGAAATTCAGCTGCCATTCCGCACGGATTACCAATCCACGGGGAAGCACAATCTCAATCACCGCCGCCCGAACGCAGTCTTCCAGAGGAACGCATCGAAGCAACGACTACAAAGCGACTACTGCGACGACCAAAGGTGAATACTCTTCTTCGAAAGAAAAATAAGAACCATAAAAAAAAAAAAAATATTACATAACCCTCAGTAGGCCGCGGAAACAGCATAGAGACTAGAGAGCGAGATATCCAAGGCAGATAAGGCAGTCCGAAAAATCCATGGCCAACTGCTTTAGCACACCAAAGTTGTAGTAATCTCGAACGAACAGCTGCTACTGCTAATGAAACGGAAAACCGAATAGTAGACGAAACCAGTGTTTGTGTGTGTGTGTGTGTGACTGAGTGACGTGATCCCGTGACATGTGCTACTGCTACATGGGCTATGTAATGTTTTCTCCCCGCTCGCTGCGTGTATCATTTCAGCAGTCAGCGAAACACTAATTAGGTCACAATCAATGAAGCGCTCGGTGCGACGACGGTGACAAATCGGGACTAAGGCCTACTGATCAGATTTTGAACGGCACCCCCTCCGATAAGATATGGGCGGTCGAGCGTTGACATAATAATTTCAGCGTGCGTGATGATAAATGTGATGAACAACGGTGTGTCATTTAGTATCGATGCGCGCTGCTTTATTTTTCTGTTATCGGCAGGTGGATCGAAATTGGTGAGCGTGATTAAGTGGGAAGACATCCTAATCTCCTAGGCGGAACAGGATCAAGCCACGATGATAAGATTGGCGGGTGGCTGGATTACGGCGGATGTTTGATAAATTTGGGGATTCCAACCTTCGTTTCGGAATAACGCTTGTCGACCGAAACGTCGGATCCGCATGTAGGAAAAATACGCAGACGTCGACGAAATGGAATCCGGTTGACCTTAGCCCGACGAAGGTTGCCCATATCTTTCAAATTAGACGAAATGGAAATCTAGCCTTCAGCCTTGTGGTTTCCTAAAAGTCCATGAATTTTAATGGCTGACGTCTTGGAAACTTGTTTTCCCGAAATATGCTGAAGGGCTGTGATAATGTGTTTTGATGTGAATTATGCGTCAACAGACTGATCGCAAAGGAAGCGCTTGTTTTTGAAGCCCTCGGTTCGGAAGTTCTGTTTTCTGTCGCTCCGAATTTGGTATATCGATTTATACAGTATTGTTTTCGGTTAACATGGCACTCAATCACAAATAGCACTGAAGTTGTTTACGTTGGTGATGAATGTGAATTATATCAGCAAACTCGCAAATGTCTTCTTCTTCATCTTTGCATTTTTAAGCTTATTGCTTATCGCATATTAGCTTTAGTTTTCAATGCCTGTACTATTTTTGTATTAGTATAATTCTGTGGCAAGTTCAATCATACTCTATTGGTCAGGGAAGTCGAGAAATTTTGCAGCGCGAAAAATTCCTAGACCGAACCGGGAATCGAACCCAGCCACCTCCAGCTTGTTCTTGCTTTGTAACTGCGCCTTTACCGACTGAGCTAAGGGAGGCTCCGCTGATATGAGACGGTTTAATTTTGTTGGGTATGGTGAAAGATTGGAAGCCCAATAATCTCAAGGAGAGATAAACTTTATTGACTGAGGAAAACAGGTGGTTAAATTAATCATAAACACAATTAAACTATCCATGAACATAGTCGGATAAAAACCACTCTATTTTACGGTCAGGGTAACCTTGGTTCGAGTTACCAGTTTTTTTTTCTTTGAACCAGGGTGCCAGATTTGAAATTTCTGTGAAGGCATTTGGTTTTGGATAACATTTTGACTTCACATTTCAAACAGCTTTTACAAAATAGTAATGTTCCGCTGAAGTTTAGAAAAGTGTCAAAGTTATCACACTTCAAAAAAAAGATAAATCAGCAATGAAAAATTATTACGAAGTCTTTGTATCTTGATAAAACAAATGAAGATCACGCTTCTTAATTTTTGCTCTGTTCAAATTCTCGCAAGTAAATGGCTTCTGGTTTTAAAATTTTGTTTGAGTCCAGGATTTTGAAAATTTGTCGAGCTAGAAATTAAAAAGTCCGGTATTTCGATGACTTGAGATCTAGAAATCTCTTCTAACCATGATAAATCACAAAGTTTTCGAAGTATCGAAATATTGAAAACTTTCTCAACCTCTGGATCTTGATTTTTACTTCTGTTTCTAGGATCTTAATAATTTGGTAGTCTTCTCTTGTCTCGGTATTTTCTTCCACTCTACAAAATCTTTGGATTCCCCATTGAATTATCCTAAAAATTGTTTGGGAATTTTCCTCAACGTTTAGTAAACATTCTTTCAAAACTTCAATGGAATTGATTCTTGAATAACCTCCATTGAAATTCCTTCAGGAATTGCGTTAAAATACTTCGAATTCCATTCAAACGCTCCTTTAAATTCTTTTGGAACACCCTCTTGAATTCTACTACCTTAGAATGCTTATTAGGAACTTTATTTTTAATTGCTTTGGAGCACTGCTTAGAACTCTTCCGGAATCATCCTCACATCAATCCTCGAGTTATCCTCAGAATTATCCTGGAACTCTACTCAAAACTACATTGGAATTCTCCTTTGAACATACTTGGATTTCTATGAATTCATTTGGGTTAAATTTGTCATATTTATTCTGGAATTCTAGTCAAAACTTCAATGGAGTTATTTTCTTCCCATTCAATTGTTCTAAGCATTCTCTAAATGTGTTTTTGTTTCTAAAATTCTATGGTATTTTTGTACATAATTCTAGAATTCTCTTCAGGATTCGATTGGGACACTCCTCAGAACAGGATTGAAATTATCGCCATATTCACCTTGGAATTCTAGTCCAAAGTTCATTGGAGTTCTTTCCAGAATTCTTTTGAAATTCTCCATAAAATGCACCCAAAAATCTCCTCATCGTTCCCATTCAATTGTCCTAGGTGTGTTCCCTAAATGTTGTTAATTTTTCTAAAATTCCCGCAAAATCGTGGTTCGAACTCCTTTCGTGGTATTTCTGAACAAAATTCCCTTGGAATGCTCCTAGAATTCTCTTCAGGATTCTATTGGAATTCACCTCACAATAGGACTAAAATTATCGCTATATATTTAGCTTGGAATTCTTTTGAAATGCTCTATGAAATTCATCAAAAAATCTCTTCACAGCTCCCATTAAATTCTCCTTAAAATTCCCAGAATGTTTTAAATTTTTCTAAAATTCCCGCAAAATTATGCTCCTTACTCCCGCGGTATTTCTGAACAGAACTCCCTTCGAATGCTCCTAAAATTCTCTTCAGGATTCTTTTGATATTCTTCTCAGAACTGCTTTAAAATTATCATCATATTTATCTTGGAATTCTAGTCCAAACTTCATTGGAGATCTTATCGGATTTCTTTTGAAATTCTACATCAAATTCACCCAAAATTCTCCTCATAGTTCTTCAATTATTCCCACAACATCATGCTGCGAACTCCCGTGGTATTTCTGTACAAAATTCCATTAGAATGCTCCTAAAATTCTCTTCAAGAAACTTTTGGAATTCTCCTCAGAACAGGACTTAAATTATCGTCATATTTATCTTGGAATTCTAGTCCGAACTTCATGGGAGTTCTTTTCAGAATTCTTTTGAAATTCTCTGTGAAATTCATCAAAAATTCTCTTCATAGCTCCTATTCAATTCTTCGTAGCATTCCCAGAATGTTTGCAATTTTTCTAAAACTCCCGCAAAATCATGCTCCGAACTCTCGCGGTATTTCTGAACAGAATTACCTTCGAATGCTCTTAGAATTCTCTTCAAGATTCTTTTTAGATTCTCCCCAGAACTAGATTAAAATTATCATCATATTTATCTTGGAATTCTAGTCCAAACTTCATTGGAGATCTTACCGGATTTCTTTTAAAATTCTCCATAAAATTCACCCGAAACTCTCCTCATTGGTCCCCTTTCAATTGCACTAATGTTTTTAATTTTTCTAAAATTCCCGCAAAATCATGCTCCGAACTCCCGCGGTATTTCTGAACAGAAATCAGAATTCCCTTCGAATGCTCCTAGAATTCTCTTCAGGATTCTTTTGAGATTCTCCTCAGAACTGGATTAAAATTATCATCATATTTATCTTGGAATTCTAGTCCAAACTTCATTGGAGATCTTATCGGATTTCTTTTGAAATTCTACATCAAATTCACCCAAAATTCTCCTCATAGTTCTTCAATTATTCCCACAACATCATGCTGCGAACTCCCGTGGTATTTCTGTACAAAATTCCATTAGAATGCTCCTAAAATTCTCTTCAAGAAACTTTTGGAATTCTCCTCAGAACAGGACTTAAATTATCGCCATATTTATCTTGGAATTCTAGTCCGAACTTCATTGGAGTTTTTTTTTCAGAATTCTTTTGAAATTCTCCTCAGAACTGGATTAAAATTATCATCCTATCTATCTTGGAATTCTAGTCCAAACTTCATTTGAGATCTAACCGGATTTCTTTTAAAATTCTCCTTAAAATTCACCCAAAATTCTCCTCATAGTTCCCATTCAATTGCACTAACGTTTTAAATTTTTCTAAAATTCCCGCAAAATCATGCTCCGAACTCCCGTGGTACTTCTGTACAAAATTCCCTTCGAATGCTCCTAGAAGATTATTTTGGGACTGTCCTCAGAACAGGACTAAAATTATCATCATATTTATCTTGGAATTCTAGTCCAAACTTCATTGGGGTTCTTTTCAAAATTGTTTTTAAATCCTCCATAAGATTCACTCAAAATTCTCCTCATAGTTCCCATTCAATTGTCCATTATTCTGAAGGGATTTTTGATTGTGATTAGAATTCCAGGCAAATTTTAAGAGATATCAAATCATCTGATGATAGTTTGTAAGAAATTCTTAAGGGAAATTAAAGGGAATTCTCATAAATTAAAGGAATACTGAGAAGGAATCCAAGATAATCGAATTCTGGTATTTGTTTGATTGTTCTAAAGGCATTCTGGAGAGCATTTTTAGGAGACAATTCTTAGGAATATTTCAATGGAATTTAAACTATAGTTATAGAAATTACTAGATAATTCTCAAGATAGTGTCCAAGTAGTAGTTTTAGTAGTAGTAGTAGTAGTAGTATTCCAAGAGAAGGAATAG